CTTTCAAGTACTGTCGGACCTCATCATCCACCGTAAGGTTTGACAGTAAGTTGAGCACAGAGACGTTAACAGATCGCAGGAAGGCGCCATCACCGCCAAGAAGAATGTGTGAAGTTAAGGTGTCGAGCGTTTTTTTGCTTCTAAAAGAGGCCTAGAGAAAAGAAGTGTGAGAAGGCGGTGCGTTTACCATATTCTCACGGAAGTTTGTAAAGCTGAGGAGTGTCTTCATGATTTTCATCAATTTTGTGGTGGTAGAAGCAGCGAGGAGGGAGACGAGGTGCTCGACTTCCTCAGTACTGACAGTGTGGTCGCTCGAATGCTTTTGTCGTTCATTCCGCTGTGGTGGTGGTGGTGGTGGTGGTGGTTTGTCAGCAGAAATGCTGATGTTGGACACCGGTCGGGGGCTGCTTTTGTCCTGCGTAGACTTCTTACGTTTGGTGTAAGTACTGCGATAGATCCAGTAGGCACCAACTGCCAAAGCTGCTACGGTGCCCAGAAGCAAGGTACGAGATGTGAACATGGTTTTACTCCGAGAAGAACGAACGACGGAGTGAATGAAAGGGCATGAGGTCTGAAAGGGGAAAGGCGATGCAGTGTGTTAGATAATTTCTTCCACATATAGTTACCACGCGGGTAACTTTTTGTGACACACAATTCGCAGGAGTGTCAAAAAGGTTGTTGTTGCTGCTGTTGCTTAATATACTGCTAAGGGAGTAGCAGCATTTGGCACAAAACGCGGAACTTGTGAATGGTAGGCCTAAGGGCTTAGGCGATGTCATGGACAAAACCATACGAGAGTTCGACGACGGTTTCCGTCGATGTGCACCCCGTAGCGGACTGGAAACAGGAACTGTGACTAGCGTGCAATAATTTATTTTTGTCGTGGTCATAAGCTTGCGATGCATCCACCGCACATTCTCTTCGCTCACCCGTTTAGTTCGGAAAGCAACACATAATCAAAAAGTAGAGGTGCAGTGGCCGACCAAACTAAAGAGCCAGATTACACTTGCCACACGCGCCTGTTACGCGCAGACGATTTAACACAAACAATAAAGGGGCAGCTAGGAGCCCTAACGAGTGGGAAAGAGTTCAAATATAAAGTGTAGGAAGGTTTCT